AGGAAAAAGAGTCAACACAGGCCTGAGGCTGCTATCCTTAGAAAGGCCTGTTTGCAAGGGTGACCCTTAGATAGTGTCTAGAACTTGACTGGTACACAAGTCCCTACACTGATGTGAAACTTTCTCTGAATGATAAGGATGGCTCACTGGGCTTAACCAATTTGTCCAATGTGGTTTATGGTGAACACCTGCCTTTACTTTTTGTGGCCTAGAATTTTGGTACCACCTAGGCAGAGGGTACCTACATGATCAACCCACAATAAAAACTGAGCAATGAGCCTTTAAAGAGCTTCTCCAGTAGAAAACACTTAACACATGTTTCTACAATTCATTGTTGGAGGACCTGCACATGCTCTGTGTGACTGCACTAGGGAGAGGACTCTTGGCAACCTGTGCCTGGCTTCCTCCAGGCTTCACTCCAGGCACCTTTTCCTTTGGCTGATTTTGCTTTGTATCCTTTCCCTGCAATAATTCTGAGCCATGAGTATGACCATATACTGCATCCTCCAGTCTTCCTATTTATTGTTGTATTCACCAGAGCTCGGGGAGATCCTGGGGACCCCTGGCACAGAGCTACCTTTCTAAGTACTATCCAGCTATTTAAATTGCAATCTTTTCACACAATTTATTTTCAAAATTTAAGAACTGCCTACACTCCATTTTGACAACAGGCCTTAAAAAGGCAGATGAAAGAAAATTATAGAGGAATAAAGTGTTTGCTTTAAATACATTCCTTCATACATATGCTGAAAGCTCTGAAAATGAAGACCACCACTTAAGGAATGCTGGGAATAGACACGGCCTTCCAAAAAGAACAGATATTAATACAAAGATGGTGGCCACTGCGCATCATTTCTACAATCACACCCAAAAGCTGCAATACTAACAATTTCTATACCAAAAGAGGCTACTCTTTTTAAAATAATCCAACACTTTTCTATTATCTTTCTGTGTTTTCAACTTAAACTTTAAAATTCCAACTTAAAATTTAAAATGCTAAAAGGAAAGGGTAAAAAAATATTACCAATCTGACTGCTTCTTTCATTTTTTCTGAAGCAATTGCCAAGATTTCTGTAGTAGGATTGAAGGTCAGAGACGTAACACCTGTAACCAAGTTCATTATAGCTTTTATCGGCCTTGGGTTTGTTTCTTGGAGACAAGAATCTTGACTGTATATGTTTACCACTCCGCAATTGGAACTGCAAAGAGAAACAAGCATATAACAGATTAAAAGCAAGCAAAAGGGCTTTCACAACCTAAGTGAACACAGATTCAATCCCACAAACTGGTATTTACAGGAAGTATAACCTGTTACATAGGGACCATGGGTTAGAGTTCATCCCAAGGCAAAAGCCAGACACATTCTATCAGTTCAACCTCAGTCTTGCTCAGCTCTTGTTAACTCCAGCAGCTTTTCAATTACTAGAGTAGCTAGAAAATCCAAGAAGGCACAGAATCTTTATCATTCATTCCGTCAATAAATTATTTACTGAATTTCAACTCTATGCTAGGCACTATTTAAGTGCTTGGGTTGCAAAGATCAACAAGACTGACACTTTCATGGCATTTATGGCCAACCTAACATTCTAATATGTGAATGAGAGCTGCCCTTCAGCTACTTAGACCTCCTCCTTTCTTTTTTTTATGCATTATATTTATCAGAACTTTCAAAACAGTGCTGAACAACAGCTGTAACAGCACACATCTAAGTTT